ACTCAGGTCTCTTCGTCCTGCACACTCCGCCCCCGCAGGTAGCTGCGTCTGGTCAGGTTGCTTCGTCCCCTCCGGTAGCAGAGTCCGGCCAGGTTACTGCGTCCCCACCGGTTGCTGTGTCCAGTCAGGTTGCTGTGTCAGGTCAGGTTACTGTGTCCGGTCTAGTTGCTGCGTCTTGCTCCTGTCGGTCCCTAGCCCACCCGACCGTCTTGTGGCACCACCGCCTTGGCCACCCGTCGCTCCCCCGCCTCCGCAGCATGGCCAGTCGCAGTCTTGTCTCAGGTCTCCCGCGCGTCTTTTCGTCGCTCCCTCCCTCGCTTGCCCGACCCTGCACTCCTTGCGTTGCCGGCCGCCTGCGCGCCACTCCGCACTCCTCCTCCCTTCGTCCGGCCACTGCTCCCTTCCAGACTCTCCACCTGGACGTCTGGGGCCCTGCCCCTACGCTGGGACCTAAGAGGGAGCGCTACTTTCTAGTGTTCGTTGACGACTACTCCAGGTACACCACGGTGTTTCCTCTCGCGAAGAAGTCCGAGGTGACTTCTACGCTGATCTGGTGGCTTCTGGCCACTGAGGGCACTCGTGGTAGTCGTGTCCGTTGTCTCCACTCCGACCGTGGGGGTGAGTTTCGCTCCAGCGTCCTTGCCGGGTTCTGCGGCGAGCAGGGCATCAGACAGTCCTGGACGCTGCCGGAGTCCCCACAGCAGAATGGGGTTGCTGAGCGCCGCATTGGCTTGGTCATGGACATCGCCCGCACGTCCATGATCCATGCCTGTGCGCCCCATTTTCTGTGGCCCTACACGCTGCGCTACGCCGCGCACCAGCTGAACCTCCAGCCGCGTGTCTCGCGGCCAGAGGTTTCACCGACCAGTCTTTGGACTGGGTCCCCTGGTGTTGGGTCGGCCTTTCACGTCTGGGGCTGCCTTGCGCTTGTCCGCGACACCTCTGCGGACAAGCTCTCGGCTCGCGCCATCCCCTGTGTCTTCCTTGGTTTCCCAGTGGGCTCTCCGACTACTCCTTTTACCACCCGCCCCTCCACCAGTATCTAGACTCTCGTGACGTCCGATTTGACAAGTCAGTGTCCTACTACACCCGGTACCCCTGTCGAGGTCTCTTGGTTCCCCCTCCCCCCCTTTTCCTTGCACCCTCTCTTCCCCTTGCTCTCGCTCCTCCGGTACCCCCACACCCCCCTGGTCCTGCCCCGTCAGGTGTGTCTCACGCTACCCCTCTACCCTCGGTCGCGTGTCAGGTAGCGTCTCCCTCCCCGCAGTCCTCCTCACAGTCCCCTCAGCCGCCTTCGGCACTTCCGCGACAGGTTACTGTGGACTCGGTTGGTGTTGGAGCTGGAGGTGCAGCCGCTGGCGGTACTCGGTCTGGCGGTGCTCGTTTGAGGGGTGCTGGAGTTGGAGGTGCTGGCGTAGGTGGCGCTAGCTCTGGGGGTGCTGGAGCTGGAGGTTCTGGCACTGGAGGTGCTAGTTCTGGGGGTGCTGGAGCTGGAGGTGCTGGCACTGGAGGTGCTAGTTCTGGGGGGGCTGGTGCTGGAGGTACTGGCACTGGAGGTACTAGTTCTGGGGGTGCTGGTGCTGGAGGTACTGGCACTGGAGGTGCTAGTTCTGGGGGTGCTGGAGCTGGAGGTGCTGGTACTGGAGGTGCTAGTTCTGGGGGTGCTGGAGCTGGATGTGCTGGTACTGAGGAGACGGGAGCTGGAGGCTTGCCTACTGCGTCGCCCACTGCGCGTCCCCACCGCCACGACACCCGCTTCCAGGAGCAGCAGCAGCAGCAGCAGCTGACGCCGCAGCCGCCACCTTTGCAGCTGCTGTTCCCTCCAGTGAGTGGCCTTCGGGCCCTTGGTCTTCCTTCCTCTCCTCCTGTCCACTCCCAGTCACCTACTGCGTACGGGTCCTACGTTTCCTCCTCCGGACTCGACTCCGGTTGTTTTCTCTCCTCCTCAGTCACGGTCGTCTCCTCCTGTTGTCCCGCACGACTGGACCAGTCGTTGTCCTCCGTGTGCTCGACCCTCGTCTCCTCTTGCCGACCTCCGTACTGTCTTGTTTCGTCCTCCTCCTCGTCGTTCTCCGCCCGTGTCTGTTCTCCCCTCACCTCCTTAGTCGTCTCTCACCGTTTCCTCTCACCCTATCACTGAATACTACCGTGCTGCTCGCCCTGTTGTCTCTCGTGTCCTCGCCTCTCTTGTCACCGACCCTCGTGCCTCTCCGTCGTCTGTTTCGGCTCTTACTGACGCTGTCGCTGACTTTGCTTCCACCCGCTGTCTTGACTACGCCACGCGTGTGGTGGCTGCTCCACCTCCTCGTCCTCTGTCCGTCGGGGGTGAGTCTTCCCAAGGCTGTGACGTCCTAGAGGACAGGCAGTTTGAGCTGGAGTTCTTAGCAGCCGCTTCCCCCTCTCTCTGTGCCATGCTGCTTTCCCTTGAGGGAGACCCCGACGCCCTTGACATACCGACACCTCGCATGTACCGTGAGGCAGTGTCAGGGAAGTGGGCCTCTTAGTGGAAAGCGGCTATGGATGCAAAGTTAGCATCTTCGAGATCCACATGCACGTACGTCGACGCAGTTCCCCCTCCCAGGGTTAACGTTGTCGATGGCATGTGGCTCTTCAAGGTGAAGCGGCCGTCTGGTTCACCGCCTGTGTTCAAGGCGCACTACGTGGCTAGGGGTTTCAGACAGCGTGAGGGAGTTGACTTCTTCCAGACCTTCGCCCCGACCCCGAAGATGACTACTCTTCGGGTGTTACTGCACGTAGCAGCACAGCGAGACTACGAGTTGCACTCCCTTGACTTCTCCACTGCGTTTCTCCAGGGCCGACTACACGAGGAGATCTGGCTGCGCCATCCTCCTGGCTTCACTGTCACCTTCCCACCTGGGACCCAGTGGAGCCTGAGGCGGCCAGTCTACGGTCTCCGCCAGTCGCCCCGTGAGTGGCACGACACTCTTCGCTCCACGCTTCGTGACCTTGGGTTTTGTCCTTCCTCTGCCGACCCGTCGTTGTTTGTTCGCACTGGTTCCGCTCCTTTCTTTATACTAGTGTATGCGACGACTTGGTCTTTGCTACAGCAGACAGGGCAGCTCTGACTGAGGGGAAATCCGAACTGCAGAAGAGACACAAGTGCACTGACCTCGGTGAACTGCAACGCTACCTTGGCCTGCGGATCACCAGGGACAGAGCCGCTCGCACCATCACACTGACTCAGTCACACATGGTGCAGCAGGTCCTTTGGCGGTTCGGGTTTCAGTTCTCCACCACACAGCCCACTCCTCTTGCCGTTGACCACCGACTCACTGGCCCTTTTCTTGACGAGCCCTTTGAGTCTAGTGGTCCCTACGCAGAGCTTGTGGGCTGCCTCATGTACCTGATGACTTGTACTCGGCCGGACCTCGCCTTTCCCCTCAGCGTCCTCTCTCGTTTTGTTGCGACTGGGAGACACCGTCCAGTTCACAGGACAGCTGCTGTGAGGGTGGCGAAGTACCTGGCGACTACATCAGGCATGGGGCTTGTGCTTGGAGGGACACAGGTAGTTGTGTTGACCGGTCACTGCGACTCTTCCTACGCTGACGACGTGGACTCAGCGCTCGACTCAGGGTTATTACTTCAGTCTGGGTGCTGGTGCTGTGTCGTGGAGGTCTACACAGTCGTCGTCTGTGGCTACGTCCAGTGCAGAGGCAGAGATCTACGGTGGTGCAATGGCGGCAGAGGAGCTTCGCTGGTTGACCTTCTTGCTCGCCGACCTTGGCGAGCGGCCTCGCTCTGCACCGACCTTGTACGCTGACAACAAGGCCATGATCCTCCTGTGTCGAGAGCCTCGACTGGAGAGCAGAGTGAAGCATGTTGACGTAAGGTACTTCCTCCTGCGAGAGTTGCAGCGACGTGGCCAGGCACGCTTGGACTTTGTGGCCTCAGAGGCCAACACTGCCGACGTCTTCACCAAGGCCTTGGCGCATGGTGACCATCACAGGTTCTGTGTGCAGTTGGGGCTTGTTGAGGTAGGCCCTCGGTTGCTGTAGACTTGTGGTGCTTTGCTATATATATCCTAGTGAACTCTTGAACTGGCCTTGTGGCCGCTTTCTTGTGTGTCCTTGAGATCCACCCTGAGCTTGCTTTGCTTCTTGCATTGACTGGTCTTGTGACCGTTTGTTCACCATGCTTGATTTGATGCCCCTCACTTAGCCTATGGGGGTGTGTCAAATATATAATATGTGGTATAGGCTGTAGCGAGGTGCCTTCTAGGGGGTACAACTTTTAGGTTTGCATATTTGTACCCCATCCTGTTTCTAGTTGACCATTCCGTTGCATTCACTTTCTAAGAAAATATTATATGTCTATATTTTTCTAGGCTATGTAGGGGTTTGTCAACTTAAGAGTAACTTAGGTTTAGGATGCCTAGGCTTAGGAGCCTAGGCAAGGAGGGTATCGAGAAGGTTGTACCAAGGGATAGCGAGAATGGAGGGTTTCACTATTGAGCAAGGTACAAGATATAGCAAGGAGAAGCCACATGGTACACCACCTACAGCAAGTGAGATACACTACAGTCTACACTACAGACAGTTATAAAGAATATATAAGTATATTCTAACACACCCCCTAACTGCCTGTAGTGAAGAACCTTGTACACAACACCCCCTGAAGGGGTACACCACAGTGCAGCGGAAGAAGGAGAGGGCAAGTGAGGAGGAGGAGTGAGAGAGAGGATTTTTCGCTCGTTCGAGAGAGCGAGAGAGAGAGAGAGAGAGAGAGAGAGAGAGTGAGTGTTCTTCCCTCTGCCCTCTAGCCTCAGCCCTCTGCCCTCTCCTATTCCAGCTATATAAGGGGCCTTCTCGGCCTCTCTTCTTCATTGTGTGGCGACGCTCGACAGCGCGGCCTTCGGCCGCGCGTGAGGGGTGGCAAGGGATCACACAAGCGAGTGACTATAAGCAACTTCATACACGCAATGGCAGCATTATCACCGGCCTAAGCAACAATGGTAACAACGGGGCAAGAGGAGCCCGCGTCTACATGCGGTGAGCTCCAAGGGCGTGAAGAACGCCCGTCAACGTTCGCCGTAGCTCCTGGACCACAAGCGTGCTTGCGCCGATCGCGGCGGCTCCAGAACCTGCGCGCAAGTGTCGCCTCGAACCCCAGACAGCCTCGTCAAGTTGTCCCACAGCCGCAGCGCCACCCTCTGCGGGCGCAGCCAACACGGGCCCCAGGAGCAGTGCGAGCTGGTCCGCGGCATCCAAGCACGTCTCACACGGACGGTCATGAAACGTCTCTGTGGGAATTGCGGGGAGAGACGCATGAGCAAGCACCTGAATCAACAGCAGCGCATGAAGGCTCTCCGCGAGGCGGGAGAGCTGTCCGAGCGTCGCCTCAGGAACACGTGTCTGAGGTTGCTGAAGCGCCTCCGCCAGGAAATGAAACAGCTCATCGGCAGCAAGAAACGCCGATCCACCAGCGACGTGAGGAGAATACCGAGCCCCCGCCGCTCCTCCTCCTGCGGCCACAAATTCCACTCCCGCCACGGGCGGAACCGGCGGCAGCCGAAGGCGCGCTCCAGGAGCAGGTGCCGAGGCAGCGGGAGCAGGAAGCGGTGGGACTAGAACCTGCGGGGGGGGTGCAGCTACAGGCATTGGATCCGAGGGGAGCGCAGCCTGACGTGGAGCTGCGCGGGCAGGAGAGGCGTGCATCGATCTGCTCTGGCTCTGCGCGGCCCTCTCCTCGCGCACTGCCTTCGACACTTCCCGCTTAAGATCAGCCATCGTCACGGGCGGACGGTACGCACCACCACCCCCGCGCCCGCGGGGACCCCTCTAGCCACCACGACCGCCGTTGTGAGCAGGCCACTGGGACTGCTGATGAAAGCACCGGGGAGAATCGCGCCGGCGCCGTGACGACTCGCGCTCCTGGTGTAGTGCGGGAGAATGGGGGCGAGACAGGCGGCGGTCCGGCGACGGAGGGCGTGACGGCTGACCCACAGGGGCCATCGGCATCACAGCTGGCGCAGACTGGACCGCCGCAGAGGGCGCAACCAACGGAGCCGGGCCGCCAGTGGTGGCGGACGCCGCCTGCGGCGACAACGCAGAGGACGGAGCCGGCGCAACGGGGTCGGCGGCAGGCAAAACAACAGGCGCGACAGGGACAGAGACATCGGGAACAGCAACAACCCCAGCAGGGACTGACGCCGGCGCCGCAACAGGAGGAGCCAGGGGAACAGCGGCAGCAGCCGGATCGGACGGAACAGCAACAGGGACAGATGGGCCAGAATCGGGGGTGGCAAGGGGATCCGCGGGTACGAGGGGAAGAGTCGTTTCAGAGACTGTTGTCGCGGGCTTCAGAGTCGGCGGTAGAGGGGGCTTCGTCGCCGTGGTCACCTTTTCGGGGACCGACGGGGGCCTGGCGACGACTGCCGACCAAGCGGCAACGCGCTCTGGCGACGGCTCAGGAGCTCCGGGAATCACCATCTCAGGCGCAGGGAAATCGCGAGGCGGGAAGGCGAACATAAAGCGGGACTGGCGGTGGACCAGAGAACGGATACCAGGCAGTGGCACGTGCGGCTTTAAACAACTTGGAAGCAGCTAATGAGGACGACGAGTTACGGGATCCCTCTTATAGGGAAGAAACCGCAGCCGAGAGCGAGAGCGATGAAGCAGAGGAGGAGGAAGGCGGGGTGAGGGAGAGTTCGGGGAGAAAGAAGGCAGTGGGGGAGCAAACAGGCGTGCAAACGCCCCAGGGGGCACACACACCGTCCGATGCCGATCGGACGGGAGTACTTCCAACCACTGCCTCCCCTGCGCGATCGGGCCGTGTTCGGCGAAATCGGACCGCGACTTCAGATGCTGCGATACGCCCATCCGCCTCGACACCCCGCTATTTTTCGTCAGACGAACTGGCTAAGCGAACAGATCTGTTCGCTTCCGTCGGGAATTGGGACATCACTGCACTGTGCGACAGTCGCCAGCCTTCGCTGTCGCGGTGCTTACCGCCCAATTTGTGCCAGCTGTTCTCGCTGGCGTTACTGACGCCGTTACTGCACCTCTCACGAAACCCCGAGTCCGAGACAGGATGGCGCCTGCTGTTGTTTCGCCAAACCTCGCCACAACGACCGAACTGGCCGAAAATCAAGGCTCGGCTTCGAGCCTTCCAGCGTGGCGAATGGGAGCAGCTGTACCTGGACGCAGTCAACACGCCACTACCGCCACGACACCAGCCCGACGCGACTGGTGTGCTCAACCGAGCTGAGGGTCTGGCGAAACGTGGCAGCCTGCGACGGGCCGTGCTTGCTCTGGAGTCAACGCCCGTCTGCACTCCCAGCCCCAAAATCCTGGAGGAACTACGCCAGAAGCACCCACCCGCTGAACACGAGGAGGTGACGTGGCCCACGCCACGGGAGTCAACACTTTCCATCCCCCACGCGGACTTCGCCAAAATGTTGGGCAGATGCGAAAATGGAGTTGGGGCCGGGCCGTCGGGGATGACATTTGAACATCTGCGCGACGCGGCGATCACCAATGCACTGGTCCGCACCCATCTGCACGCCTTGATTAACACCATTCTGGGAGGGAATTTGCCAGACTCGGTGGCAAACCTTCTAACTGCGTCACGCCTCATCGCCTTGGCCAAACCTGGGGGAGGTGCTAGGCCAATCGCGATCGGCGAATGCTTGACGAGGCTGGCAGCCAAGGCAGCCCTGTCAGCAATGGGAGAAGCCGCCCGCGAATTCTTCCTGCCACTACGGTACGGCGTGGCAGTGCCAGGTGGAGCCGAGACAGTAATCCACGCGGCCAGAGCCTTCCTGGACGCACGCCCCACCAGCCTGGCCCTGCAAGCGGACATTTCGAACGCGTTCAACAGCATCTCGTGAAAAGCCATCGCCACCGCGTTACAAGCCCCCGCCCTCTCGCCACTGCTGCCGTTCGTCAAATTAACTTACGGTAACCCGTCGCAGCTGCTCCTGGATGTCAATTTCAACTCCGAACCCCTGCGAAGTGAACGCGGGGTCCGCCAGGGAGACCCACTCGGTCCGTTACTGTTCGCGGCAGGGATACACGCCACACTACGCGACACCGCAGACACGCACCCTGACGTGCTTTGTCTGGCCTACGCGGACGATGTCACATTCCTTGGGAACGTGGCCAACACTGTAGCCGCATTCAACCATTTCACCGCCAGTTTGGCACAACTGGGGCTGACACACAACCCACGAAAATGCGCAGCATGGAGCAGAGCCGCAGCAGTGAAAGATCAGCTTCCGCCAGAAGTGCCTTTCTCCCAGGACGACGTGCGGCTGCTGGGAAGTTTCGTGGGCCCAGACCGTGGGGCGGCGCAGTTCCTGTCGAGTCAGCTGCAGGAAATGGCAAAGCCGCTACCTCTCCTGGAGAAAGCCGACCCCCAGGTCGCTTCACTGCTACTCACCCGCTGTATCTCGAGGCGGGTGGCATACCTCACCAGGACAACACCGCTCCACCTACTGCCCCGCGATACCTGGAGTCAGTGGGGAATGGACTTACTCACGACGCTACTGACTGCATGCGGCATCCGCGTTCCAACCTGCCGCCCTGAGCAAGCACGCGTTTGGGCGTAGGCTTCACTGCCGCCGTCGCTGGGGGGAATAGGCATTACAGACCCCTTAATCGAAGGAGTGTATGGATACACGGCAAGCTTCACTCAGGCCGCGCTTTTTCTGGCATCTCTAGAGTGTGCCCCTCGTGGCGCGCTGACACAGGCCCGGTACCACATGTTGCTGCCTGCTGACGTCACCACGCCTCTACACACGTGGCTTACCGAGTGCGAAGCGGCATTACCCCTTGACGCACGGGAAATCTTGGAGAAAGAGCGGCTGAAGCGGTCAGACATTAGACTCCAACACGCTCTGGCATTGCAGGTACACGGGAGCAGATATGCCGTGCAGGTTCAGGAGACACGGCAGATGACACCGAACCCCTTGTACGGCCACACGCAGAGGATGTTCTCGCTGACAGGCTACGGGACCGGGGATTGGCTGACGGCTATCCCCATTGCGGCAAACAGGAGGATAGGGCCCACTCACTTTTCCAACGCTGTGCGCTTCCGACTGGCCCTCCCTTTCTCCACGCCAAAAAATTGCGACTGCTCAGACCATACGGCTATCACGGACCCCCGCCTCCCTAACCACCTCCTCCGCTGCGGCACGGGCAAGCACCGCATCAACACCCACAACGAGCTGCGGGACGCTTGTATTAGCATGGCCCAGGATGCGGGGTTCATCGTTCACGACGAGACAACGGCTTACTGCCCCATGGAGGAACAGACCGCCGATTTTACGATGACGGACAGAAGCAGCGGTGCTGTCTACGTGTGTGACGTCACAGTTACAAACCCCATTAGTACACGAGACCCGGAGGCACTGAAGGGCAGGGGCTGGGCGGCAAGGGAACAGGCCGACAAAAAAATCAGACACTACGCTGCCCGACCAGAGACGGTGAATTTTTTCCCTCTCGCGGTAGATACTTACGGCTGCCCCTGTGCAGAAGTGCCAGTCTTCCTGAAACTCATGGCGGACACCACAGCTAGGCGCCACTTCAACGCCGACTCCAAATCATTCTATGCTGCCAAGTTCCTGCACCAGTTCAGGCAACGCTGGTCAGTGGCCCTTCAAAGGGCCCAATCTGTGGGTCTCCTGCTCAAACTAGGGGAGGCAGCGGCTGTAGAGAACCCGCCCGTGGGGGGGATCGGGGACGAGTTACACCTTGGGGACTGCTTTGCAGTCATTGAGCCTTTTGTGGAGTTGTAGGGAGGACTTCTGATCCTTGCTTGGTTGTTACCTATGCCTCTATGACTTGCATGCTTGTACTTTGCTGCTATATCAATACAAGGACCACTAGAGAGAGGAGAGGAGGAGGTGGGCGGCGGCTGAAGCTGCTAGCACACTGGCAACTGGAGCAACTGGCTCACGGGCTACTGGGGTAACGAGCTCGTACGCCTGGAGCATCCCGCTCGTACGGCTAGAGCAGCTGACCCATGGGCGACTGGAGCAACGGGCTCACTGGCGACTGGCGCTGCTGGCTTCACGGCAGCCACCCCCCAACCTCTCCAACCTCCCTCCCACAACGGCGGAGACTGCTAGAGGAGCAAATATACGAAGGAGGAGGCGGCTGGAAAAATGGAGAGGAGGGAGGACTGGAGGAGAGGAGAGGCGGCTGGAGGAGAGGAGAGGAGAGGAGGGGCGGCTGGAGGAGAAAAGAGGAGAGGAGAGGCGGCTGGAGGAGAGGAGAGGAGAGGAGAGGCGGCTGGAGGAGAGGAGAGGAGAGGAAAGGCGGCTGGAGGAGAGGAGAGGAGAGGAGAGGCAGCTGGAGGAGAGGAGAGGAGAGAAAGGGTTGTACCAAGGGATAGAGAGAATGGAGGGTTTCACTATTGAGCAAGGTACAAGATATAGCAAGGAGAAGCCACATGGTACACCACCTACAGCAAGTGAGATACACGACAGTCTACACTAAAGACAGTTATAAAGAATATATAAGTCTCAAAGTAGGAATGCAACGGAATGTTTGTGATTAGCAAAGCGAGGGGTACAAATAGGAAACCCTAAAACTGTTGTACTCACTAAAGAGCACCTCACTGTTGCCTACAACAAGTAACAACATTTGACACACCCCCATAGGCTAAGTGAGGGGCATCAAAGGAAGCAGGTCAACAAACGGTCACAAGACCAGTCAAAACAGGCAACAAGGCAAAGCTCAGGGTGGATCATGACGTCACCACGCATTCTGAGCACAAGCAACGGCCACAAGGCCAGTTCAAGAGGTTACATAAGATATATATGTGCAAGTACAAGCAGAGCAAAGCTACGGCAGACGAGCAACAGAATCAACAAGCCCTAACTGCACACAGAACCGGTGGTGATCACCAGGCGCCAAGGCCTTGGTGAAGAGGTCTGCATAGTTGGCTTCCGAGGCCACAAATTCCAGGCGCACCTGGCCACGACGCTGCAGCTCGCGAAGGAGGAAGTACCGAACGTCAATGTGCTTCACCCTGGTCTCCAGTCGAGGCTCGCGACACAAGAGAATCATGGCCTTGTTGTCGGCGAACAAGGTCGGCGCAGTGCGAGGCCGCTCACCAAGGTCGGCGAGCAAGAAGGTCAACCAGCGAAGCTCCTGAGCAGCCATAGAACCGGCGTTGATCTCTGCCTCAGCGCTAGACGAAGCCACAGACGACGACCGAGTGGACCTCCACGACAAAGCCCCAGCTCCCAGACTGAAACAGTAACCCTGGGTCGAGCGCTGAGTCTCCATGTCGTCAGCGTAAGAAGAGTCACAGAGGCCAGTCAACTCAACTGGCCGAGTCCCTCCAAGCACAAGCCCCATGCCTGATATAGTCTCCAGGTACTTCGCCACCCTCACGGCAGCCGTCCAGTGAACACGACGGTGCCTCCCAGGTCCAACAAAGCGAGAGAGGACACTAAGACGGTAGGCGAGGTCCGGGCGAG